AAGCAATAGAAACTTAGCATATTTACGAATTTTGATCAATCGCGCATTAAGCTTACACGTCAATTGATGTTACAGCGCCAATTGAAAATACATAAACTAGACAAACATGTCTGTTGCGGCTTCTGCCCCTACAGATAGATACAATTTTTGCGTCTGTCATGTCAAACCTCGTGATGCAAAGAACATCGGCCCTGTTAAAACTGTTCACTAAAACTAAAAATTTATGTGGAAAATTCAATACTGGAACACAATCGCTATTTAAAATCATTCTTTTTCTGAATGTTACAAGGTTATATCGTATAACTATACTATAAATTAATATATTCATTGCTCGCACTTGCATCTAATAATTAAGTAATTTTCACTCCCGTGAGCCTATGCCATGTCTACGGTAACATTATCCGATTACATTTTCACTATGCTCATAGCCAATCGTACGTATTTCTTCATGTCAGAGGAAAGTACGAGAGGCAAAGAAAGTTATAGACGAAAATACACAATCGGTCCCCTTGATACTTGAAAGAAGTCGCGTTAAATCAAGTAGTGTTTATATCGATCGCATAATCGGAAAACAATGGGATTTATTTGCCAATTAGACAATTAGGTCGGTCAGAGAGGGTGGCTCGTAGACTACGGTCGACCGAAAACTCAGCATCGGTCCGGCAAACGTGTACGGGGATGTCGAGAGGAGCGCAGACTATTTACCGTGCATACACGTAACCGTGGTAATGTTGACCCTTTGGCCTTTAGACGGGGTTACCATGTGCAAATTAACAATGTTTGTTCGGTTAACCCTTTTGCTTCTATCTCGATTTCTGCTGTTCGTCGTCTTGTTCTCACCTTATACACAACGAGAGATTACTGAAGCAGCTTTACAGTTTTTTTGCAATATTCTTTAAAATTTTCGTTAATCATCTTATGATTTGCGACATTGTCAAATTTTTCTGTTTAAGCATTTCAATGTGTGTATTCGAAAATTAATAACACTGTTAATACACTAAGAGAAAAGTATTTGTGGCTATAAATACATGGTAAAATAATATGGTTAGGAGCTTCATTTTTATGATTATTATTGGTATATGATGTAGGCTATAATAATTTATACATATAGTTCTCTCTCAAACACGAAAAAATTGTATTAAAAATTATAATAATTTCGTCATCATCTTGAAGTGTCCGCATACCACAATCCGATTATAAATCAACAATTAATGCTCGAATACATCTACACACACTTTCACACCCATACTTATAAATATCTATGTATTCATCCGAAACCCCTCTCCAATCCACTGTAGCGACCTCGATGCACATCCACATTTATCCGATATAACTTACTACATCTTTACCCATCCATACACATCTTCACTCACCCCCATACCCCATCCCTTCCCCCACTTTCAACGCCTTAATTACCTTAATACATCTCGAAACGTCCTGACATTTTTTTCAACATAGCCCAACATATTCTCACTCACTCACGCACGTTATTAGACTACGGTTTATCCTTACTGCCTTTTACCATTAATCCTTATTTCACACATTCCAATGAACTCCGAAATGTCTCAACCAAACACATTTTTGTGTCACTCCACATACTTCACTCCACAAAAATTTAATGTAGTTCAACACACTCCATATTAAATAACATAAAAAGAATGAGGACTGATGTTTAATCGTATATTAAGGAGATCCTAAAGCTGTCTGTATTACCGACTAAATCGTAATTTTTATACAACAATTAATTACTTTTTTCCTCTTTTACAAATTCCAATATCCAGTTTAAAATAATATGACAAATGAAACATACGGTAAGACACATCTAATAGTAATAATTGCATAATATTTCATTACGTGGTTACAACATCTCTGATAAAAGTTCTATCTAATATCTATATCTTATTATATCCCCATGGTTTCATTAATCCTTAGATTCCCCTACATAGAATATTGAATATTGCTGAAAAGATTATCAGAATCAGCAAATCAATTTTCCAAGATCACATGAAAGTTTATCGCTATTTTTAAAATAAAATTACATGATTTTTAAAAATAATATATGATTTCATTCTGCATATGAAAGGCATATTAAAATAGAGTTATCAAAAAATCAATAGTTTATGAGGTACTTTATAATTTATTCTATTATATTTTGATATGAAATATAAATTATCTCGTGCTATTCACTTTTTGGTAAATTTTTGGTAATTTTAATACATACTTTTATGCACAGTATAATGGGAATCAGTTGGTGTAAAGAAAAATCATATAACTTTTTTAGTTTTTTTTTAATTACGTAATTCGCAATATGCAACTACATAACTTTTTGAAGTATAGATTTTTGTCACATTTTATGTTAGAAATACTATATTCTTTTAATAGCTGTTTAAGAGCCTAAATAGTTTGAGGGAATATTTCAAAAGAGTTACATATAACTATAAGCTAATTATTTTTTTGTTTTAAATAATTCCTTTGGCATTCATAATGCATTAAGATCGTGTCAAAGAAATCTCAACTGTGCTTTTGTTTTTTTCTTATGTTGAAACGTGTTCGCGTTCCGACACGACGTATTTCCTGATGTGACACGTGCTTCGCATCGATGTATCTCTCCTTTTTTTGAAACCATTCCCTGCGGATAGAGTTCGGTTACGCCATTTCTGCTTATTCGGCACACACGACCGGACGTGACGTCACTGAAACTACGTGAAGTGTTGATTGTATGCCAGATGCGACTTGACACCCGGGGAGTTCTACCTTCTCGCTATGATTCACTCGCGTTACCGCAATGATGTTACTTCGTTTTTGAGCAATAGAAATTTGGATTGGATGCAAACGGATCGATATTAGAGAACTTTCATTGCTATGCTATATTGCTGTGCTTATTCTCACCAACCAGATTAATTTTAGACACTTATCTCGACATTTTAATGTCATAATTTTTATCTTCAAATGCCTTCAAAAACTGCTATTGATAATTAAATAAGTTGATTAGGAATTCTCTCACCAAATGTACAATATTTATAATTACATATAATTAATACAGTATAATTAATACAATATACGAGTAATTCAGTAAATATATCGTATATTTAAGTTAATAAATGAGAGTTAAATGATTATAAATTTTTATAAGAGAATATTAAAGATAATTTTTACGGATTATATATTTTAAGTAATGATAAACTACTGATCACATACGCTAACGCGCGCTTTTACAACCTTCTATTGAATTTTTTCTTAAATATTCATAATTTCTTCAATTTCATCTACATAATAAAAAATGAGGTATTTTACTGACTGCATTTTTTAGCTAATAAATATCTTTAAAGATTTATGTATTCTTCTTCGCAAGCGATATAATTTAAATTCAATCTCTTACACGTTTGTGCAGTTCTTCGCTCGCCAATAAATCTAAGCGATTCAAAACTCACCACAAGAAGATGGAATGAAGAAGTAACGGAGCTACCACTTCTAAATTTACATGTGAATTATCTTTAAGACATTAGAAAATTAGCTTGGCGACAAATATCAGCGGGCAAAGATCTGCACAAATAACGCATACTTCTTTAGGAAATAATCAAATCTATTAAAAAAAAATGCTGAACAAAATTAGAATCTTTAACATTGATAGCTTAGAAGACATTTGGTATATAAGAATGTTTTATAGAGATAGTCGCCATTTTCTTAGTCGCTAAAGCCAATGAAGCACTATCGTGGATTTATTTTACAACAAAGAATAATCGTAAAGAAACAAATAAACAAAAAAAGAAGAAAAAATCGCACATTAACTTTGATCTGGACATTGGCGATTTTAGGAAAAATAAGGAAAATCGCAAGAACGATTAATCTGATGCTTTTTCAAATAATGTTTTAATGGGTAACGAAACCAAATATAATATTTATAATCATTTTCCGACTATTCTAGCACTTTTACAAAAAAAGTTTTATTATTTAATACGTCCGTTTATCATTAATATACTTTTTTTAAAGTTTTTAATTTTTCGCTAATTTTGCCAAAATTTTTAACTTTGACTGATTTGAGGGGGCAGAAGATATTATCCGATCAATACGAAGACACCATACGCTATTGAACTGGAAAGGATCCGAAGTTTGGATTGAAATATATTGCCAAAATGTTAAGTAACTAAATAAATTATCTTTGACACTAACATCTCGTGTTTGATCAAAAAATTTTGATTTATCGCAATTGAGCTTTGCGTCTTTATTATCTTATTTGGTTATCACGTCACAATTTTGAAAAAAAAATTGGCATTAAAAAGACAAAAAACGGCAGTATATTTTTAAGACTATAATCTTTTTATTATATTTCATTTTATCAATTTTATATTGTTTTTTGATTTAGCATAGTTTTGATTATATTTTTGATACATTTTTAAGTGTTAAATTCGAAAAACACAATAAAAATATGTCACACAGTTATTTTACACATTTAATTTTCTTGTGCTGTAACAAAAAAAGGATGTGAATTTAACACTGCATAGTGAAAAAATTTATATACCCTCCCACGATAATGGGACATTGTTGCTAGATGCTGCACCGTGAAAATCGGAAAGCAAGGCATAAAAGCAACGCTACAGATATAACTTTTTTAGCAAAAGAAGAAGGAATTACTAAGTCTTTTATATAAGATTTAAATGTAAATAATCGAATAATTTTTATAAATTTTTTAAATATATTTAAAATATATTTAAGAGAGTTAATTTTTTGTTATAAAAGAATTGTGGGTGATGGAGCAATTTGAGACTATTTTTTCGAATTTGGATCATTAAATTCCTTATGAAATCAATATATATTTAAAAAAAAAAACTTTTAAAAATTTTAATTTTGTTGCCTTATGTAATTAGAAATATTGATATATCCGAAAGTAGTGAATGTTATTGGGGCTTCCCTATAAGTTAATCGGCTTCATACCTATTTATATGCGCGCGAATAAATCTGCTATTTCCATAAATAGAGTTGCGTCTGTTACTGGTTTATTGTTTGGGATCAAAGCGCGTGCTTCTTCTTTTCCCCCTTTGCCCTCTCTTTTTGCGTCTCCGTCTCTTCGTCTCTGTTGGAGTTAAGAAGAGCATTGCAAAAATGTCCTCGCGCGTGCAATCTCGAGTGCACGAAGGTCGCCGTTTTCAAGATACCATGGCGCATCGCCGCGATGTGATCCGACGCGATGCAACGCGATACAACGCGATGCGATACGTTTCTCGTTGCACTATCGTAGTCAGCAATTGACTTACAAGAGCTCGCGTTGCGCACCGGTTATTAATAATTCGTTACCAGGAAACGTTCAGCTCCCGCAACGCGTATATGCGAGTAGAATCAATTTGATATAGTCAAGCGATATCATTGAAAAAGCTGCAATGTATCGCTTGGTACTTACATATCATCAAGACCCGTATATATCTCGATCGACTGGAATTGTTTTACACGAAAGGGTAACAGCACTTTGATACATTTATACACTGAGCAAAATTTCTAGTTGAAAGTGAACGAAGCAAAAGATTCTGATTCATATTAATCAGGATTCTAGTTATCTCAATTAAAATTATAATATAACAGTTTTAATCAGAAAATTCTGATTTGCCATTTTTATCAGAATTTCAATCAACCAGGCTCTTTTTCCAATGTATATGCAGAATGTTTGATAATAATTGGATCACTTTTTATGCATGGCTAAATTGAATTAAAAATTCTGTGCCAATTTTACAAATTTCGACATTAGTGATAAGATATGAATTTATAAAGATCTGCCAATAATTGTGCGCTCGCGTGAAGAAATCATAGATTCTTAGTTTTATGCAGTTAGCAACACAGTGAAATGTTTGTGCTCTACGAAAAGAATAATTTAAACAGACAACTATGTATGAGCACCATCTGTCTTTCTAAGCTGTCTTTTCTGGGTACATGCTTATTCGCACACACACACACACACGCACTTTTATTAATTGACTTTTATTAATCTCATTAATTGCTTTAAAAATTCGTAAAATAATAAAGAATTTTTTTGCTTACAAAAGACACTGTCTAACTTTTATTATCGAAAGTACTTACAAAATTATGTATAACACTTCTCATTTCACCGGCAATCGTAAATCGATTAATAGAAAAAATTAGAATGTTTATAAAAAACTGATTAAAATCGGAAAAAATAAAAGAAGAATACACTATCCAACATTATTTTACAATACGAGTGTGAATAGTCATTGCCGATGTTTGCCTGCTAAATATAAAACGTTGTCCAAAATTAGCTATCACGTCACAATTTGGAGAAAAATGGCGTTGAAGAGAGAAATAAAAATGATGAAAGCTGTGGAATGTTGAGCATCAGTAGTAAATTTTTTTTTAAATTCGTTAATGCCATGCAAAAGTATTAACTTTTAGTTTTAAAATACATTTTATTTTAGCGGTTAATATAGGACTAGAATTGTTAAAAATTTTAGATGCATGTAGCAACACTTATTACCACTAATAAGTCTATATGTGAGAGAGATCGAGATCTCTCTATATTAAAAATGGAGGCAATGTTGTTTATGAGTTACTATGTATTAATTGTGTAGCTGCTATTTACACCAGCACAGAGTTATCGATTGTCATATCGTTAATCGTTAAATTTAAGTTGAATATCGTTTTTAATTTACCAGTTTAAACAACATCTATTATTTTTTATTGACAACATCAATATCAAGATTGTTCGTTATTGTAAATAATTACCAAATTTACTATTAAAAAGTCAATTTAATTCAAGCATTGTGCAATTCTTACAGACGGAATCTAGACGCAACCAATCCCAAAAGAGTCCGAGGAAGAGTCCGATCTGGACTCATCATCAGTGAAGATTCTGATCTTATTCAAGACAAGGCTTTAAAAGTCGTAAAATTAAAAAGCTCAATTAGGATTGGACAACACGTCTTATTGTAAGTCGACTTTTTTATTGAATTGATTTAAGTTAAGTGGATAGGCAAAAGATGGATGTACATCCTACTCGTGTATGTTTATTCTTTATATTTATAATAGATACCTACTTAAGATAAATGAAATATTCCTTTTGGCAATCTTTTTATGAATAGAAATTTGAGAAAGATGATTTAGCTTAGTATAAATTTTTCTATGTTTAAATTGGGAGCAGTTAAGTAAGAAACTGTCAGCTATTTTGGCAACTTGATACTTCAACGATTTTGATTCGAAAATTTCCAATAAACTTGGTTGAACAATGAACGAGATAGTCAACTTATAAGCTGAACATAACAAATTATTTACAGTAGGTAAATGAAATTTAGTAACGCTGAGACACCATGCCAATTGAATAGCCAAGGTAGCATAACAAGGTTGATAAACATTAATTATAACCATAAAGGCACTGATGCCCCAGGAAGAACCCGTAATTAATTTCAGAACATTTAAATGTTGAGCGGTTCTGCGTTTTAAAAACAATATGTGATCTCTCCAGAACCTATTGACACACCTATTGACCTAGCTATGTCCCACAGCTATATACATCATATACATTAACATTATAATATATATTTATGTGGTCATCAAAGGTCAAGCAACGCTAGCCAGGGTACAGCTTCGGATTTAATTGTGATAATTATTTCAGTAGTTTAGCTCTTTGCGTTTTTAAATCTGATAAAATTTCGGCGCGCAGTTCAAAATGATTATAAATATGGTATATATAGTATATACAAATGTATATATATATAGTATATATAATACAAATTCACATTGAATTATTTAATCATTACAGATCCGGCTTTGACTGTTATGGGCTTTTAATTCCTAAAATATGTAATATTGTGATATTTCGTAATATAATTTCTCTATAATATTTTTGTAATATTGCATTGAAAGATAATATTATTGCAATATTGTAATGTCACTGCAATATTATTATAATATTACGTGCTGTATAGACTGATATTATTATCCATATATTGATAATTAAAATAAAAAATATAAAAACTGTAAAAGTTAAGAGGGTATTCTAGTTTGATAAAAAATCGAGGAAAGAGAAAAAGGGAAAAAAAGATATACATTTAATGGGCCTGATATAGCAGGTAATTCATTCCTTTTCTATATATAAACACTTTGCAAAATACGATAAAATGAGAAAATAAGCTACTGGAAATAGATGCTTACCATTTTTGACTATATTTAAGGTATTTTCATCATTTTTTGTGCAAATTATTATTATTTCCTGTCACTTAATTAAAGATTTAAACATGATTTTTCAAGATCTATTCACTTTACGTTTCGGACTAAAATCTATTTTTCATCACTTTCTTTCTATGATTTACTTTTCAAAAATCTTGTATTTTTCTCTTTTCTTTCTTTTTTTTCTCTTAATTAAAAAATAAATGCATGTTAATATTTAAATGAAATTTGTGTGTTGTTTTTTTTTGTCCTCAAAATAAACTAACATTTAAGTATTAAATTTTAAGAATATGATTTTTTGTTGATCGTTTGTTGTTTTTAAATAATTTATTTGTTTATTTTCTATAATCTTTAAAAATAATATATGAGGACAACATTATATTAAATACATTATATAAATTTTAATAATCCAGTTTGCATTAAACAAATCATGAAATGCGTTTCCTTAATCAAAAGAGACATTCAGATAGAAATGAATCAGATATGAAAACAAAGATGTGAAAAGCATCACTATCCACTAGCGATTTAATGACTATTAAATGTAACAGTTGTAGAAGAGTTACGTTCAATAGCTCGATTCTCCTGAAAAGCTCATTTTTTGTGACGGATCACTTTACTCCCTCTCACTACTGAAACAATAAAACTATGCTATTAATAATGACCAAGTGACAAATATGACGGAACTTCCGATGCAGGCCGGAAATTACTAAATGCGTCGTTATTCCGGTCCGCAGTTCTCATAAATGTGGTCTGCCGTTTTTCGGTTCATAAGATCCTACAGTATTCCATATTGTATATCGTTTCCTTCCGCTTCTTTATTTTTATTACTATTTTCTTTTTTCGATACATGCCTAACGGTTTACTTGTAATCACTAAGATGCGAAAGTTTGTGTCATTTTATCATGAGCCTTCTTGGATTCTTTTTGTTTCTTATTTTCAGATATGTTTAATGCAGAAATAGGTTTTTGCTTTACAGGCTAATTCTTATCATTTGACGTGCACTATACCTCCTCTGTTTGCATTTTAACGAATCGATGTAATACTAACAATAAAGTATTTTATTTAATACGAATATCTATCGCACAATAAGTGCATGATAGGATTTCTCGTACATCATCTTGAGTATTAAATCTTATTCTTAGAAATTTTTTTTCTTCAGAATAATATTTAATTTTAATGAATGAAACACACATTCTAAAAGAATTTAATATAATCCTTGCAATATTCAAGAAAATAAATATTATCCTTTTATACTTTGGTGCGATTCTTGAAGTAAGTCACATGTCATTAAAGTATTTTTCTAAAACGAAAGAGGTAAGTACAAAGCAATAAATACAAAAATTACAATTAAATTACAGTTCTGATTTAATACATAAGTTGTTTTGATAACGCAAATAGTAGATGATAATAAAGATCAAATTACGTTACAATTTTAAGAAAGTCATAGTTGCAAAAAAATATATTTTAATATATTAGGTGTTGGAATTAATTCGTAGCGTTTTACAAGTGATGGGAAGTACTTTCATTAATGTATTTTTTAATGCTCATGTGAAATAAATAACATTCTTTCATTATAAAACGCTACGAATTAATTCCAACACCTAATACAATATCATAATATGATAATATTGAAAAATATTTTTCAGGAATTAAGCATGGATTAGAATTTTTGGTTGAAAGGAATTTATTATAAAATATTATATTCAAATGACATTTTACAATTAAATATTGCATCTACTGCACTGTGAGACAATTGTTGAAAATTGAGTCATTAAAGATGACGAACATTCTATTGTACTTTACTAAATTATTTATTTAAACTTAATTTTAAAGTTGATACATATTTTTGTATACAGGTTATACCTTATCAAATGATTCTATATCTCCGGTAAAAATTCCGTATTTTTTACATAAATATTTTTTATGTTAGCATCGTTGAATATAATAATAAAATTTAAATCCATAAATGTGCTTGTTAAAATGCAAAATATAAAAAAGACACCGATCCATTCATGCGAAGCTACTTTGTGGCGTAAAAAATGACACATGTTTCTGACAATATTTCGTTTAGTATACTTTAGCTATGCTAAAGTAGTATCTTTAGAATCAAATTAAGGCACAGAATCGATGATTTTGGGAGGAATAACGAAATCAAGTCTACCATATATATTAATATTTCACTTTATGACATTTTTGAATTCATAAAGATTTGATTATATATAATTAAATAAATTATTTTATGTGCTATATTTAAATTGGATTATTAATAATTTTCTTTTCTTTTTCAACAAATCATCTACAACAAATAAAAGTAGTTCTAATATACTTAATACAATGATTCTAACAATATATTACCTACAATTAAGAAATATTATTTTTCTTAACAATATTATTAAAGATGGCTTCGAAAAAAACCAATTAGAATGTATATGTTATTCTTTTACAATTCTATGTATATGTTCCTCTTGTTTTTTTTTAATTCTAATCTAAAGAAAAATATAGTGACTTTAGTCTTATTAACAAAACAGTTTGTGTAGACTTTTATGATTTTTTAATTACTAATACATTCTTTGGAGTATTGAAAATAATAAATAATTTTAGTGAAAAGCTGTTCAATTTTTTTACTTTTATTTTTAACTTTTATGATACGTATACTATTTGAAAGAAAGCTCTGGATTATTTTGTACACCTCATTTTTGTGTACAAAAACTAGCAAAACAATTAATATATTCGAATTTCAATAATAACAACAATAAATATGTTTAATGTCCTAAGCCAAAGTAAATTACGCTGTAAAAATTTGCATTTTACTTATTGTTAATAAAATTAGTTATTAAATACCTAATTGTAATTTTTTTAATTAAATACAGGTTATTTCAATTGCAGTAAGAAACGTTTTTTAATCACACAGATAAATTACAGTTCTCTTTGATTATTCCCAGATACATAACGATATCCGAGAATAATTGAGGAACGATAGCAAACAGATTCCGCACCCTCCTGTACATGGCACGATCTCTATTTCATTGTCATCTGTCATCGCGCTCGGAACAAATGATCGTCTCAACAGCGAACACACACACACACACGAACACACATACACACACAAGTGGACAAATCACTCGAGGATTATTCGTCGGAGACAGAGAAGGTGGTTCTCGAGTGTCGCGACTAGATATTTGATCACTGTGACTGAAATTCAATATAATTCACATAAGTCGCATGGATATTCACTAGATACTTGCGATTAATTATGAATTTACTATAAATTTACTTTTTGTTGACATTATTAATCTTGTCGATATTTTTGGTCCATTAGTATCTTTACAGTTTTCTTCTTCAACGCAATTATTTATGTATATGTATTTTGACTTCAATAACTTTAACAATTACTTCCTTAATATTTATTATAGTGAAAGGAATGTAAAAATTTGCCAAGTGTACATGATATCTTTTAAATTTTCGAATTATAAATATTATTAACCATAAAAAATATAAAAGAGAAATTTCGTATAGATTAGTTATTTTATATATATATATTGTATATATATATATATATATAAAGTTTATTCTTTATAAATTAAAAATTAAATTTTCTACCTCTAGACATAGCATGTGCAAGCATATAATATAATCTGATCTAATCGAATCTAATTTTTGTTAATTATACATAATACATTGAATTAATAGTAATTTAAAATTAACTGAGTAACTTTGACTTCAGTGCTTATATCTACATTATTCTATTTTGTCAATGATTCGAAAATGACTAGCCGAGATTTAATTTTTACTATTAGAGTAACATTGATGAAATTGTATTACTTTTTATATAAAAACTTTTAATTCAGAAATTATAAAGAATATTTTTAAGATTTTTACAGTATAATAAAACTGCAATCTTTTCACTTTTTTATATAATACTTTCATAAATTTTTGCGTTTTAAATGAGAATTTCTTTCAATACGTTGTGATTTAAGCAACGAAAAAATCTGATGCCAAAATCATACCATACCTACTGAAATTTCTTGTTTAAAACGTTACAATAATTAAAAATTTAAAAATTATATAAAAAAGAAAAAAAATGTATTTTATTATGCTATTAAAAACTTAAGAACATATTTTTAATAATTTCAGAAACACACATGATAATTTCAGGAGGTAATTTGAGGAGTTTCTATATGAAACAAAACATTTAGTTGGTTTACAATATACATTTTTTCATAATAATAAATAGAATAAAAAAATGTTAAGCAATGTCTGATTCCAAAGATAAGATTGTGATGCAATTTAGGAGATTATGTCGTGGTGCGATTTAAGAAACTACAGTATTGTGTAAACTTTTTATTTATTTAACCTACAAACAAAATGCAAAGCAAACTTTGACCCTATTAATTAATCATTTGTCATGATTAGAATACTATTAGAATTAAATTTAATTCTAATAGTATTCTAATCATTACAAATGATTAAGACTTATGCTTTTTGACTTATATTTTCTGTAATTCTGTTATGAAATATACGTTGAAAAATAGCAACGTTATCGCGATTTCTTTATTTACGTAAATAACAACATTCCTATTGCATTTTATGTCATGAGTGTAAAGCAGCGTGCAGTAATTCTTAAATAATCCATAAAAAAATATGTAAGTAAACTAATTAAATTTTTAGACATGGTAGCGCGATTTAAAAGTCGATGCGACTTTTCAGTAACTTTATCCTACTTCCAATATTTAAAAAGTATTGTCAAAGATTATTTTCACATTATATGTATAATTAAAAAGGTTATTAAATTTTCTTGCGTACTTATATCCCTCTTTCTCATACACATATCTCTATTTTTATTCTTGTTGTTAATGTTTGAATGAATATCTTTTGAATGAGAATTTAGTATAAACATATAAATTGATTGTCTAATTTAGAATGCTCTCAATTTTATAATTTAGAATTATTTCTATATATATAATGGATATACACGACAACTTATTTATGATGATTATAAAATCGCTAAAGAATTCTATTCTAAAATAGTATATTTCTTATACTAAAATTGAAAAGTAGAAAAAATTAAGAAAAATTAAACATTTTCTAGTCTCACTAAGATTTCAATAAATTTTTACAAAGAATATTTTATAAAAAGATTAGTAACCTTTTACATATCATTGTATTTTTTATTATTATCTATCGCAAAAAAGATAATATAGGAAGGATTTAATCAATGAACACTAATTAACTAAATTAGCTACTTTTTCATTTTCGCTATAAAAACAATTCATCATTAAAACATATTAAAATGATAATGATAGAAAAATTAATATATAATTAATATATATTTTGTTAAAGGAGCAATTGTTGTAACAACTAATAACGCTAGCTCGGCGAGCAAGTTGTTTTTCTTGTGATAAATGCGGCTGCTGTAGCAAAAATTTAACACGTGCTTGGATGCACCCAGTTTTGCGCCATGATATATATGCATATGCAAGGTCGCCGTGGCTGATCAACGTGAACATTTGCTACTGTGGAAGTAAAAGTAAAGCCCGATTTAAGTAAGTAAGGATAGCATTATAATTATATACATATAATTTCTTGTACGTATTAGATTGAGATAAATTATTATTCATCTCTGTTGCATCCTATTAACGAGGAAGCATATTTTCTGGATTAAAAGATGTTATTACAAATTGTGAAATCAATTTGTGATAGAATTTAGTAATAACAAAAATTGTATCTCTCTTACATGATTAAAATTTGTTACTTTATACTACGTGCGCATTATTTATCCCGTAAAAGTACCAAAATAAATTTTAATTTTACCGATATAATTCCGATATCGTGTTTCCTACATATTGTTTACAATATATCAAATTAGAAATAGAATTATGATGGATTCTGCAAATTTAGATCGTCTAAAATAGGCTTAAAAGTTCTATTGCGACAGCAAAGTGTGATAATGCAGCTATCGTATGATAACCCTAGGACTCTTGCGGCATTGCTGCACAAGGTGATCCATCACAAAATAAGAAAAAGTATAAATGAAAAATAGAAGATATCAAAAAATTAAATCGGAAATCATATTTGACACGTGTATTTTGTTTAACGTTCTTTGCATGATGTAATATAGAGTTTATTCTGTAATAATTTCTCTATTCTAATTTTTGTAAGTGTTTATATGGATTAAATAAGATTATTAATATACATGCATTTGAATATAATTAATATACATGCGTTTGCTTTTATATAAAAGCAAATACTTTTTTTAGTTAAAGTTATACTTTTCAATATTTTCATTAAAAATAATTTATCTTTAATTTAATAAACTTCTTTTTTAGCAATAAAATGTTCAACTAAACGTATATATTTTAAATAAGTAATTATATATTACAAAATAAATAATTTTAAATTAACTAAAATATCTATAAAGATTCAGAAAATTAAAAATTCAAATAAGTAACAATGAGTTAGATACAATGTCGGTGCGTAAGATTAAAATTTATGTATTGAATAATTTAATTTACAAATATAATAATCCCAAATGTTTCAATTCACACTGAATCATCTTTAGTGGGTGAAAAAAATCGTTATAGATATGCGATAAGTTGTTTACTACAAGCAGCGTTGGCAACAAAAGAAAATATCTCCTTCTTCTGGACAGTGCGCTACACGCTTGATTTTGGTGGTAGGCTGGGCGGATACGCTTTAATTCGATGATCTTTAAAAATTAATATCTTGTTAATTATTACAAAAATATAAAATAATAGAATTATAAAATGATAGACAACTTTTGTATTTAGTTTAGTCCGTTCTGCTCAAGAGATTATACGGTCATTACCGGGCACTCTGCACAGGTCTAGTTACTTAATATTCGATAATCAAGAGTTTTTCATATCGCAAGAGATAAATATAAAAAATTAAAAAGATTAAGAATGGCAGATTCATTATAGCGTATTCATAATATACAACACTGACTGATTTATATAAAATGGAAGCAACAGCCTTATTGTCCTTGCATTTTAAATGTTAAAATTTTAAAATGTTAAAATTCATAATATTCACTTTCGCTTCTTTGTATATATTTTAGCTTTCTGTTGTTGTTGTTCTTTATATTCAAAATCAATGCTCTCTCTTAAAAAAAAAATTATCAAATTTGATAACGGTTGTATCAGACTCAACGTCTTTTTATGATTTTCCGACATTTCATATTTTTTGAAAATTTGTAAATTTTGACTTCAGATTCGGCTTCGATGATTCATAGTAAGTATTATTAGATATGAAGTTACCAAAAAAATTTGGATGTGAGGGTAACTCACGAAACGCATAGCTTTTGTATAGAAAATTCCAATGGAAGGTGCCTCAAAGGTATTGAAGTTACAAAAAATCGAAGTGAAAAAAATTAAGGAACACACTTTGTTTACAAGGAACACACTTTTTTAAAAGGTGTTACAATTATAACATTTATATAAATTCTTTATTTATATAAATTATATAACATTTCATATATCATATATAAATATATGTAATAGGTTAGATAAGTAATTTATAAAAATTAATATAAAATACATACAATTATATTTATGAAAATTAATATATATTATATTTTTGTGATATTAGATATTTTTGATGTATGAAATAAAAGTGTTTCTGCATATATATATTTCTTCTAATATAAGCGTAAGAATTAAAAAATAGAATGGTTAATTCTTTTATAGTAATGCGAAATGACACGAATCAATTGAATGACGTGTGAAATCTCGATTGCACTTAAATCAACGCGTACAGTAACACGCTTTTTGCCGGGGAGAAAAATTTCTCTATCGGCTGTAGACGTGGGTTTATTGGTAGATAGGTTGGTTTGCCGGCTGACTGGTTGGTATCGATGTGCAGGCTGGCAAGCGGGCTATGCTGGCTCAGCACTCTCCCTCATACCTCCTCTCTCCTCCTCCTTCGTCCTCCACTACCTTTACTTCCGATTCCGACAGCCATAGCTATAGCCTTAATCTTGTCTGCGAGCTTCATCTCGAAATTCCTCCTTAAACTTAGCCTTCTTCTAGGAACCGCAGAAGCCAGCTATAGTTAATGACTTTTAATTTGCGGATGAAAGATAGCTCTTAAAACTAACGTTAAATTTATTTTTGCGTTATTTATTTTTTTATTAGTTGCTCAGTCAAATTTATAAATGTGTATGTGCGCGTGCGTGTCTGTGTGTGTGTCTCTATTTCCTCCTCTTTCCTCTTTTAAAAATATTAATGCTAACTATAAATAGGAATGTATATCTTTTCTAATGATGTGAGGATGGGATGAGATCGTACGCACAAGTGACAGAACTTTTCAACCAATCCTTTGAAAATAAAGACAATGGTATATATCTAAATCGACTGTCATTTATCTGAATATTTGTCATTTCTTTAACTCTACCATAGATCATCATATTGGAATACGGCATCCTCAATGAGATTTTTCACATTGCGATTTCAGACTGTGACTTTTTTTATATATAATTTAAGAATAAAATATTTTTTTTATTTGATTCTTGTTTACCTGTTTTTATCTTGCTCTAAGATATCAATTTCGCACATGATAAACTAAAAAATATGCTTTTAGAAGTATAATTTGATGAAGTTACAGATTTCGATGGGATAGTTATAACTAAAAATAAGTATGATGAGCTGGGATTAAAGGAATGACAAATACTCAAATGAATGGCAGTCAATTTAATAGTATTGTCTTTATTTTTAAAAGATTGATTGAAAAGTTCTGTCACTTGTGTGTAAGATCCTATCCTTGCAGCAGTAAAAAGAATATACGCTCCTGCTCAGTTAGCATTAGTATTTTAAGTAAATATTTTATTACAATCAAAGATAACCGTGGGAGGGGGGGGGGAGGAGGAAAAGAGAAGGAGGAAAGAGGGGATAGAGACACACACACAGACACACGTGCGTATATAGACACACCTTATAAATCCGACTTCTACGCGATATACTTCACGTATATAATGCTAGGCAGCGGTACTTTCAACTCTTAAGGTGACCTTACGTGATCAATAGTACTGTCAGTATTAACAAATATACTGAGCATATAGATTGTAAAAATACTAAAAATACTAAAAAGATTAATGCATACTGTCAGTATTATTGATTCAGTATTACTGATCAGTATTATTGACCGTGTAGGGTTACCTTTATAATTCGAAAAGTACTTAATGAAAAAATATTTTATTATAGTGTTTTGAAAAGCTTATAACACCAACTATTAGATTCTGGAATAAAAAAAGGGTGTTCCATTTAAATTTAATCTTGACAGAGGATTTCAAGGTAACCGCAAGGTCAAAGTAATTCAAACATCTGCAATGTCAGCATAATTTGTCGCCCTTCATATTCTACAACTTTTGTCTGAACCGTTTTTCCGTATTTTCCATCTTTTCAAGATATATATATATATATATATGTGTGTATGTACATAATGAGATGTAACTAAAAGAAAACTTTTGTTAATATTTTGATTAATAAGTTTACATTAATATTATATTCGTAATTATTGTTACTACATAGAAATAGAATTATAAGAAAATTAAAAGATTATTGCATGTGTTAATATTAGAGAAATAAGAAAATTTTGCAAGTTGTGACTTTTAAAAACTTAGATTGTAAAATATTCTGTTACAATCAGTTTGTTGTACTAGAAATTACGACAGTTTTTGTGCCAAGGAAACCACGCTATTAGCAATTTCAATTATGCGCTTCAACGGGCATAACGAATCGCAGGGTGTACGCACGCGACCGCATTGTAATTAACGGAAGGGATGGTAGAGTATAGTGGCATACTGATTGTAGTCAACTAGACCGTTTCATTCTGCTTCGCATCATTATGCTGATTGTGATATCTATTAATCCGTATTAATCTAGTTATTGTATTGCACAGTAGCAATCCTATATTATTAATTTTTTTTAACATATGTTAAATGTATATTAACAAAGATATTGCATTCAATTATTTAAAAAACTTTGTGTGTATGTGTGTACAAAGTAATAAAAGAATCCTAAAAAAAAATCATGCCTACAAAAATTTTGTATATTTTATAATTTTAGCTACAAATGTAAAAAAATAGTATGCGCATTCTATGTTGTAAGACACTTAAAAATGAAGAATATGAAGTTTTTGAAAAATGATTATAAGAACATTAATATATTATGGATATAACATTTAAACGATTTTTTGATAAAATCAAAAACGTAGATATTATATACTTTGCGTCCAAAATAAAACGGGCCCGAAATTGTTATTTTTTATTTTTTCTTACATTCAAAACGTAAAAAATTTGTACAGATACAAATTTAAAAAAATTTTTTTCATAACTTTTAGATAAAAATGTTAATTTTATCCAAAAGTTATGAAAAAATTTTAAGCGAGAAAAATTTTTTAGCGAGAAAAATTTAATAATATAATTTATTCGTACTTAGCATTTTATGTGAGCAGTATAACACGGTGTCATAATTGGGACACTTGTATAAGACACAGTATGTTATCTATGTACGCTGTTGGAAAACACCTTTAATAATTTAGCTTATCAATACATATTGGGTTCCAC